CAGCATTGTTTGATGAGCTATAGTGGTAATTAGCATAGCCATCATCATCTTTCATGTCATCCCAACCTGCCCAGCTTTCACTACTTTGTGTTCCTTTCCTAGGTTCTTCTCTCCTTTCTTTCTCGTCCCAGTTATCCCAGGAAGAGCTCACAGAATTGTAATGCTTGTTTGGATTCTCTTGAGGTGAATTCCAATTCTTGTTGTCCTGACCAAACTCTTGATAGTATCCATTTTTTACACTTTCCTTCTGTGACCAATCATCCACCTTCCAGCTGATCCCTTCGTTACTGTATTCCTCAACTTTTTGTGATGCCATTGCCATGACACCTTTCATGATTCCCCATGTCCTCTGCCCAATTTCTGTGGATTTTGTGGCTACCACACTCACAGTTTCATTGACCTTCTGATCGTATCCTGACTCCTTCATCTGTGTTACAAAAATAAGGACATATATTATTGTATATATAATAAGATTCTTGCAATACATAGAACAGGAAGCATAAATGCAAAAACCCAATATAACGTAAATATTCATAAATTCTCCGACAATATCCTATGACTGTTCAAAAGTTGGCAACAAGATATCATCCATGAAAAGAAATAAAAACTAATTCAAAAAAGAAAAGTCTACAAGCAAGCACAGAGCAAACAACAACGATAACAATGTGCAACTAGGCTAATAGCTAAAATAATGACAAAAATAATGGAAAAAACAGAAAAGCTGACCTGTGACTACATATGACATGATATGGTATAGATCCCAACTATTTACGGTTGACATCATTAAGTCCCTTCTTGCAATTAATGTCTGCTTGGGGCAGTATCACCGTCACCACAACTATTCTATTAAGTACTTAGATCTGAACATCACTACTCAAACGAGCATCTACTTCAAACTCAACTAAAATGATGTTTCATCAAAAAGTACATACATACTTACATACAAACACGACGAAGCTATGAGACATGGATACTTAAAAAATTGCTTGTCACATTCATGCTAAACACTTGCCGAACATGGTGCTTATAAGTTACTCCTTGGACGTCCATCGGATACTTTCTATAGCATTTGAATCTTAATTGTTTATCAAAATGACCTGATAGTTATATGGCACTTAGGAGATACCTCTATACATTCTGCCACAGAAACTAATTTTTTCTTAAATGTTGACTTCTTATGTCATTTGTAATAAGCATAAAAAGATAAAAATAATTATTTGTCCTAAATTACTCTATATATTTGTGGTACTATATTGAGAAAAATATTTCTTCTGATAAATAGGCTAGGATGCTAGATATTTGCTGGTTCTCATGAAATAACAATATTTGATGACACTATAAACGGATGTCATTGTTTGGCATGAAATATTATACATTTCAATTACTTTTCATTATTTTATCCATGTAATATACTACCATATGTTTCAAGAGTTTATGCGTTGGCATTATCTGCAGCTTATCCCGTTGTTATCCCATATTCATACCCATGCTCACAGCACAGATGTGGAGACTTAATAGAATAATGGTCTCCATGAGACATCTTTTATGTGATTGTTCCGATTGAAGGGAAAACTCTTGCTATATAAGCTTATAATGTAACAGAGATGATTGTTATAAAGAGAACACTAGTTTATATACTGTTAAACCCTCTTGCCATCAAACTTTTTTTGTTGTCAGTCACAGAAATTATAGTTTCTTGATTCATGTTTAGGAGCACAATGCCAAATCATTGAGTTCTTTTTTCCGTATAGAATTTACATGAAAATTTTATTAAAACAGACATTACAGATACAATAATGACCACTGATAGTGATGACGGTGTTCATAAATACTGTTCTGAATGATTGTGTTAATTGGTAAGACTAGATTAAGAACATTACCTAAACTAATGAAAATCTCTCCTAGAGAAATAGAGGTCTTGAAGACAGGTATTAAGAGGGCATTATATAAAATTTTATAAACGATACAGAATCCGAATGTTATATACAGTGGCAGCAAAAAACAACAAAGGGAAGCTAACATTCTCCTACATGCATTGAGCAAATCTGAGACATCAATAAACAATACCTTGGAAGTCAACTCCTTTGTGCCTGCTTGGACAACACTAGCAGCAGAGCTTGCAACTAAGGATAGCCGGCCAAGACCCTATCAAAATGAAAAATAGGTACGTGAGTTTATTCAAGATAACTAGTTCGGAACCTAGAAACTGAAATGATATACTCAAATAAAAGGGAAAATTAATAAATTGTGAACGGTGGAAACAAGTGGAACTTGCAGTTAGAATTATAGATACAAAAAAAAAGCACAAACAAACAGAGAGAGATGTAACAAGAAAAAATGCATGGCTGATAGTGAAGAAAGAGAATGATGTGCTCAAAAAAAGAATAGGAAAGTGGAGGTCTCATTAAACATGCAAAATGTGCTTATGGCAACATTTCACATAATTCACCACAGATAGAATCTTGTATAAGTAACTTGAATTTTTGTTGCATATATCCTCCCTGGCTAGTCCCAAGCCCTAAGGTGGTCGGACTTATGCAGTAAAAATCTAGCTGAACATTTACAAAAAGAAATTTGAAAATGGATGCGAAACAAATAATCATTGGGTTGGCCTAATGGAAATAAATGTAGACTGCCCTTAAAAAACTTCATCTTATAATTTATGCTTTATGACAAACCTTGATGTGTATAAGCATATGAAATATTATAGACAAGGTTGTTCATGAAATTTTTGCACAGGAGCTTCTAGTCCCAATCTTGTTAGTTGAAAAAATCTGCTTCATCTTCCAAACTGGGATAGTCACGGTCCAAAATTTGCTTCAAAAGTTTGTAATTAAGTTCTTTAGAGGGACATCTATGATCAGCATAATCACCTAGCAAAGAGCAAGTTTTGACAGACCAACCACCATTCTTTTGCTGATGCTTAAACTATATACTTACAACAGACAAAATATCCAAGACTTCCAGGTTAACCCACAATGAAGCACATTAGTGTGATATCAGTATAAATTTGTGGACAAACTAGAACATGCTAACTTTTAAACAAAGAATCGGACAGTATTTTTTGTATGAAATTATGTTGCTGTTTCCATTATTACAAAAGAACAAATTACTTAATTACAAGAAGGTCCTCGGTCTTGAACTATGCTAGAGTCAAGGAAATAGTAATTACAGCATGGTCTGCAATCTGTCTTTCTGCAGATACTTTACAGCAATGACAACTCTAGTTGATGTATTCTGGAGAACAATGTAAAAGAGCAAGAGACTGCATCTTTGCTTCTAAAGGTGTAGTTACAGTTTTAAATTTGGATAAGCAAAATATGCAAGGTCACTTAACCTCAGATAATTGATAGGATTGCAACATGTAAATCTAAAACGTAGGCAATTTTTATGTGGATTGTTCATCACCTGAGAGACAATCGAAACTGTGTCTCGGAGCATATCACCTTGTGAATTATTACTCTGAGGAGGCGGCGGTGGCGTGGAACCAAATCCCACGTACTTCCCCCCCTGCGATGGTGGGATCCCTTCAGGGCGAGAATCATTTTCAGCCATCTTCCTGGAGAAAAAGCTCTCCTTGTTTGCAGCCGACGCCTCCAGCTGTGCCCTGGTATAGATATCCTCTGTTGATCTAGATCTGGGCGGCGGGGGTGCCCCACCAATCCCGCTACCGCTCCCGGTCCTAAAGTTGCCCGTTGATTGATTCCTCCTCATATCAGAATAGGAGGAGGACTGGTAGTCATCGTTGTCCCAACTATCCCAGCCTCCGTTACTCGACTGGTGGGCGCCTTTCCCACCACTCCGCCCCAAAGGCGGCTTGGCACCAGAATTGAGCGATTCTTTGACGATCGATGGGTCCTGCCACGAGCGACCCTCGGCCAAGGCCTGGATGCGGTCACGATAAACGGCGGCGCCCCGGGTATTGTACTTGGCGACGATGTCGGTCTCCTTGGGGACGCCGTAGCGGGCGAGGAAGGCGTTGAGGCGGTCGTTGCCTCCGGCCTCCATCTTCTTGAGTTGGATCTCGGACCAGGAGTCCATGGTAACGGATCGGACGAAGCTGATGTGGACGCCGAGGCCACGGTGCTTGCCGGAGCACTCGAGGCACATGAAGACGCCGTAGGAGACGGAGGCCCACTGCGGGTTCTTCTGGGCGCAGTCGACGCACGTCTTGTTCCCCGGCTGCGATTGGAGCTGGCGGAGGCGTCGCGAGGCCGAGGCGGCCGCCATTTCGGATCCCGATCCGGACAAATTCCGGATCGCCGGTTCCAAGAAGGAAGAGGGTTCGATCCCAAGAAGGATGAACGGCGGGAGGAGAACAAAAATCAGATCGCGACACTAGCGAGGGAGGGATCGAGGGGGAGAGGCTTGAGGGATTCGGCGAGCATCTTCGACCTCCTCTCCGTCGATCTCCTCCAGCAGGCTAGGGGCCACGGTACCGAAGAAACGCTCACTTAATTGGCAAGAATCAGGTGAGGGTGGCAATTGGGAAAGCTCATTCCCAGCCTGAGACTTGGATCACCGACCACCGTGGCTTTTGCTTTTGGGCCATCACCGGATGGGCTTCTCCTTCATGCGGGTTTCTGGCTTACAACATTTATAATATATAAAGATATGATATAAATTAATAACGAGAAGCATTTGTTAGCTCGATATCCAATCGATAATATCACGGGAGACATGTGACCATAATAAACATGGGACCAACGATATCAGGTGCTTTATTAGTCTGCGTCACTACTGGCTTCACTATTAAGCAGGAAGATGGCTTTACGACCTCGACACAAACATATACAGGTAGCCAGACGAACCGTATGATGCATTAATTCCTTGCATACCTGTACGTATAGTGGTCCGACGACCATATTGCTATTCACGTAATCCATCAAACGAAGAGCATCAACATCACCGAAACTTAAGGCAACTAAAGAGTAGCCGCCTTTAAAAATTGAACCAAAACACACAAAAAATCTCAAAGATAACCATGAAGAAACATCACAAACAAAACGTTCAAGTACCATAATGAACGGCAGCATTTCCTTTCAACCATGACCAAACGACAACACGACATTCTTAGGTTTGTAGTTTCTGGAACTCGAAATTACCATGGTGTTCTCATCCTCAGCCCACGAAACCAGCACAAGCAAAATGGCAACCACTACAGGCAAGATAAACGGAAACCATCGGATGGATGAGTGTAAATGTGTCGTGCTTATTTATCTACAATCATCAACATGATATTTGTGTAAACATTGCCCCTGACGAGGACTTCTCATGTTGCCTCTGCCATAGAAATATGCACTTTAGCAAGTGCCTCCCTCAAGACGGTGCTTCGGCACTTTGTATCTTGCTTGCATACTGCATATTCTAAGGCTTCCGTGCTGGATTTTTCATGTCCATTCAGCTGCAATCCGTCCTTGGTGATTTGCAACCTGAAAAAAATATAGTGAGGTTCATTCTTACTAACAAGTGCATAGATGGAACAATTCTTCTCAAATTGTTATTCTAATCCAGAATAAACCTCGTATCCACAGGTTCAGCCATATTGGTGACGCTGCTCCTATTTGCAATTCTCCTCTCGGTATTACTCCCCCGAGTGGACTTACCTTTGTGCTTGTGTTTATTCCTATCTTTCCTCTTTGCTTTGTGCCGGTGGTGATAGCTCTTCTTTACAGTGTGCGACAACAAGGTGCACGGTGGATCATATACCTCAGGAGCCCATTTTACATGTAACTTCACATTCAGAGGTGAACCATTCTGGGCACGGCTTCCCTTCATGGCAGAAATCAGATTGGAGGAGGCCTGGAGAATAGCAGTCCACTCAATAGATTAAGGAGCAAAAATATGAAATACTGCAGAAATGAACGTATATTGCCACAGAACCTCAATCAGTGAAATATGCAAAGTCCACTTCTACATGAAAATTACAATCACATGGAAGCTCAATCATGAATCACATTTTAGCAATGTAATCAAAGAAAAAAGTACAAAATCATATGACAGACAATGCCATCAGCAAAAAAATCTAGCAACTTCAATTGCATCTAGCGCCAACCCTGTCTAAGATTACTAACAGCACTGCATATAATAAACAAATGAACAAGTATACTTGTGCATTCATGTTATCTCCTACTGGGAGAAACAACAAATTCCAGTCCATGAGAGAAAAAGACAATGATCTTCCTTTCTCATCATATTCCACTCTCTGCTTTATAGGATAAGCTTTGCATTTTCACCAAATAAAAAGGTGTAGTCCCTCAATATCATTGCTTTCTAAAGATCTTTGTGCTGGCATGCAAAATTTTATATATTATGCTCAACCATAAACAAACATGTTCAGTATGATACATCACCAAGAAAACCTGCATGGTGTAAGGAAAACAACTTAAGCATTAAACATTACTTAGAAAACCAGAAACTCACAGGAAGAGAGGCTGAACGTTCATAGGTAGGATAATTAGATGTGAAGGAACACTTGTCTTGAAGAGCTGTTTCTGGCCTACAACCACCATTTATAGACAAGTCAGCAGCATTCACCTCTATCGAGGAAGGAAATGTTGCAGACTTGGCCAAGGCTTTCTGTTTCTTCAAATTGAAAGGAGCCGGATGACATAACTCTTTGTAAGCTTCGGTCTGCTTTAGTTCAATTACTTCCTCATCTGAGGTTGCATTAGAACCAGAAAAGTGCCCTTGAAGATCACCAACAGGGCATATCATAGCAGGAGCAACAGTAGTGTCTTGAACTGTTAACACATCCTTTTCACTAACAAAAGGAACACTCGAGATCCCATGAAATGTGATGTTCACAGTATCTTCAATTTTCCAACAGGCACTCTCTTCATTTTCTACATGTGACTTCTCACAGCCAAGGCCATATACATAAAAGCCACAACTAGCATCGACAATAAGCGTATCACCACGAGAGAAACTGTCCATCTTGCTGCTGTTGTATCAAGAGCCGATAAGGGTTCACATCAATAACAATTTCACGTATGTACATTAAGTATCAAGAATGTAATAAAATAGTAGCAAGAAAATTATGCCACGGAAGTTTATTGGCTAAACATGAAGGACATAATAGTGTAAGTACCTACCTCAAACCCCTTTACAGGAATACGAGAGAGCACTTAATCGTTGCATAGTTGATTAATACTGAAAAGAATAAAACTAATCTAGTTACAATACTATTTAGACATTGATTTTTACCACATAAAGAGGAAGACACCTCACCTGAAGGCAGATGCAATAAGTCACCTTAGAATAAACTGAAACATGTCAGCTACAAAAATCTAGCAAAAGAGAACAGAATAATGTTTCCTTTAAAAAGGATAGCACATGGTGTGCATCAAAATTAAGCAACAAGAACACAAGGCTTGCAATTTGATCGCTGTGTACAGAGTTCGATACAATGACTAAACTTTAACGACAGATAGAAGTCTGCTGATCAGATAAGCCAAACAACAGCAAGGAGGACAGATCATCTGCCGCACGAAAAAAAGAAAATCGTAAAAAATACACAAGAAGAAAGCTTTCTTAGAATAACAGCAACGTAGAAGTGTAGCATCAGTTACCTTCGCATGTATAAGAAACCAGAGCCAATCGAACACTCCTCCAACTCACAATTCGCCGCTGGCAGCCAATCAAGGAAAATATCCAAAGTTATCTAAGAAAACCCTTCCGGATCAAAGAAAAGGGACCGGGAGACGAGAAGGAAGCCCTAAAACAACCGCTGTGCCACGCGCGGACCGCACTACTGACTCAAATTACCGCGACGACTCCATTTCTCGAGTGGCTTAAGGCGATGAGAGCAAGAACCGCCGTTGAACGAGGTAGCCGATGGGCTCATGACCGCGCGGCGAGGGGGGAGCCCTGCGAACACCGAAGGCATGGTCGATGCCCACGGCGGGAAGGAACACTTGATCGCGATCCGACGAACCCCAACTCGACGCCGCCCGATCCAAATTAGCCCATTCAACGACTGAACAGAAGCAGAAAATATCGAAGAAGATTTGAAGCAACCCTAGTCACCTCGATCGGAGAAATGGGGAGACGAACGGGGGCTTTATGGCAGGTCAAGCCTCACGGTCAACGACCACCAGCAGATAGTGGACCAGCATCCACTGATGATTGACACGTGGCCTATCCGGGTTGAGACCGACGACTAGTAGCCATGGCGTTCTACAGTCTACATCAACATGCAAATCGTACGTGTGCCAGTTACACTATGGTGGGCCATAGGCAAACGCGTCCGGCCCGACACACGCGCGTAAAGTGTAAACGTAAACGATGATACACAGTCTCCTCCTGTCGGAAATCTGTTCAAATTAAACTTAGAGATGCATAAAAATATATATTAAACCATGATGTAGTTTACTTTGATCGAACCCTACCACCAGCCAACGACAAGTTCATCGGCTTGCCTTTTTCTATTATCTTCTTCATGCAGTCTAGGTCAAACAATCGGCAGTTCAACGTCCCAAGACTTTTCCTCTGTCATCACCTAGCCGGCTGGTTAAACCCTAAAGATATCAACAGATTAATCTTTTGCTGCGTGTTTGCACCATTAAAGCAATCCAACTAAGATGAAAGTTCATATATAAGGATAGAGCAGATGCTACCACGAAAGATGATCGAGTATACAGAATTAAACGAGAGATGTGGACTAAAACCGGTCCATCTCTCTAGAAAAGAAAGGTAAACGGAAATAACACCACCAACCAAGCACAAAGCCATCTCATCAACTACAATGTGAACTATTCTGGGCGTCATACCATTTCGAACTGACATGGAGCTATTCTGGGTCTCGCTTGAGGAGCACGAACTATGGTAGGTGCAGACCACGCTGAGGTCGGTGCTCACGGTGTATACATGGTGGTGAAGTTGGAAAGGCGGTGGCGATCGAGACCAGCTTCCCTCACCAGTATCTCTGGCCAACAGCTACTGCAAGCTTTTCCATCCATCAGCTCCGGTATGGCGTCGACGGGAGCAAGACACAGTCCTCTACTCCGCAAGTCAGCGCTGTTGCGTGCATGGCCCTGACAATTATATATACGGGATATAGTATTCAGGGTTAATCTTCCAAGTAATGCCTGTTTTGTATGCATCATCACTTGGTAAACACAAGCATCAGCTCGAGGAATCTCTTCCTTTTTATTTTACGATCTTTCATGAAGGATTTCAGGAATAGCAGATCCATGGAAGAAGGGTCTCGTATTCGATTACCTGAACCCGCACTTCTGGCGAGCTCATTCCAAAGTATGGAGCGGCCAGCATCTGTTTCATGGTAGCAGAATCATGAATTTTTCGTTACCATGTTTGGATTCAGAAATATAAACCATTCATAAGAGACGATTCATTCAGAACACTTATTGAACATGTTAGATGAACGTACCTTTATTTGCTCGTGAAGGAAGTTGATAGAAAGAGCAGCCTCGTGAAGTACCGATGCAGTATCCGTCTATATACGTAGATCCAATTTAGCTGTCAATTTGCTTCCACATACAGTCTAAACTTTAAATAGAGATGACCTTGCCGAAAGGAGAGACGAGCTGCTGAAGAGCTGTTATCTTATCCCCTAGTTTCTGGCTCCTTCTCGCAGGTGCCTACATATCCATTTGCGTGATGCAAGAATAAGAATGATGATGAAGGATGAAGGAGCATGAAGAAAAGAAAAAGGAAGGGTGTACTGGTGGAATAATAATGCATAGATATATCCCGAAGAGTAGGTGGGAATTTTACTACTTTGACGAGCTGCGTTCCGGCCATTGTTGACTCGTCCGCCGGCAGGCGATGCTGAGTCTGCCAGCACACAGTCTTCAGCCTCTTCGATGGACGTGAAGTCGTTTGATGCTTGGTTCCAGGATCTCTAGCCCTTGAACGCTTCCTTCTTTCTGCCAAAACCTAGTTAAGAAGAAGAAGACGGAAACAGATCAAGAAAAAGACAGCGTTATACTACCCCTCGAGGTTGACTCAAGCACGACGACTCACTTTACGCTGAACTCCGGCAGTGCTGTCCTCCGCAGAACCGGCAGCAACTGTGACGGTCATCGGATCTCCATCTCCTGCTGCATTAGATTCAGGAAATGTACTGTTCTATACAAATCCGTAGCGATCACTGAACTGACCTGTGATAGATCCTAGATGTGGTGGACAGCTGCCTTGGAGCTGCAAGCAATCACTGTAGTTATCGTGACGGGAACCGAGGAAATTGCCGTGGTTTCTGTTCATGAGTCATCTTCACTATAAGAATTTCTATAGCTGGTATCGAACTGTAGTACTAAGAGAATGTTAGCGTTGTTAGTACTACACTCACAGTCTCTCGAGCTCCGCAGAGGTGTTGGAACTCTGCAGCCATTCCGAGTTTCCTGCTCGAACACATGACGAGTTAACGAGAACCCATGTCGGAAATTTAGCAGTATTCGATACTTTATATATATATAAATATATATATATTTATATCTATAATACCGAAGCTGCTGCTGCTGCGAGGGAAAGAGAGTTGGGGAAATGCTGCGTCGTTCCACATTCCCAAGACGTTAGATTCCGGGAACTGTGGCATGCTAAGATCCGCAATCAATCTTACGTGAACTAGGAAAATATTGCATTAGATGCTGCAATTATTGGCTCGAATTAAGCAAAAACATGCAGAACAATTCAGTCAGCAAATATTAGGGAAGAACAACACGAAGAGGCAATCCACGAAATTAATGTAAAATTGAGAGAGGTTTAAAGCATGATTAACCCAACAATGCGTTCTGGTGACGAGAAGGTATAAGAACGAAGGAAGCAGAGTAATACATACCTCTGACTGGGTGCGTAGGTGGAGGAGAGGAAGGGCAGTAAGCGAAGCCAATGAAGCTCCTTATATTTGCTTAATTCGGATGCAGAACTGCTACTGCTTGCGACAAGGATGGCTCCGTTGCTTTACGTCTGAGGAAAGCTTGCCATCGGAGAAAAAGCTAGAGATGGAGCACAGGACAGGAAGACGAATGAGAAACGATGGTGGTTGGCATAGAAATGGGAAAACTGAGGAAGGAAATCAAAGTGGGGAGTAGAAAAGGCGAAGAGATGTCGTAAATAGCCGTGATTTGAGGGATCATCCGTTTCATATCTCTGTCAGTCCATCCCTTTGCCCTATAAATGATGCATCATTTACTTAGCAAGAGAGAAAACTCTGGCTAACTCGAACGGCTTCTCTCTTCTCTTCTCTTCTCCTCCGAGACCAGTTGACCGTTTTGTTTTCTACTCCTAGTTCGAAAGACTTCCCACGAGACAAAGTGATGTTAAAATAAGCTCCAAATTAATTTGTGTTCAACCCCATATGTTGATGACAAGTGACATCGCACCAAATAGTTGTAGCAGCAGATCGTCATGTCATGTATTTTGTTAATGTGTGCTATAATATAAATTGAGCTTTATATGCATTCCCAAGATGCTTCACTGCATGCACAGGTTTTCTCCTCCTTTAGTTCTACATAGGTTTCCTTAGGAGGAACTTTTATAATGCTTTATGTTATATCTCCTATTCTTACATATAAATATATAAAGATTTTCTTAAGGCTACGATACAATACACAACACTATCAAGATTATTGATCTATTATTATTATCTTTATTTAGTTTTTATTATATTGTTTAGTTCTTATGATCCTACCCAGGATAGAAGAAAAAAAAATAATTATAGTTCTTTTTGTAGATTGTTGTTGCTATATTGGATCGAAGAAAAAAAAACTACGAAGTATTTTATTATTTTGAACGACATTAAAAAAAATCATAATATTGATATATTATTATTTAATTTTAGATTCTGACATTAAATTTATTTTACATAATAACATGATGATAATTTTATACTAATAATTGGTATCAGAATTCATGCTTGCGAAATTAAATATCTTAAATCAGAAAAGTACATATATTAGTGTAAACAATCTGGAGCCGTGGCCTCGGGGCTGACGTAGCTCGGTTCGGGTCCGGATGACGAGGAATCTTTCCGGGACGGGTTTCGAGTCCGCCGAGGTGGTCGCACGCGGTGGTCCGATCGAGACGGGGTCGCATTTTCCCCCGGGAGGGAACTCCTCGCCTAGCGTCCGACGAAGACCTTCGGCTTCGCTCCTGCAGAAAAGGTCGGGTCGATTTTTCCGACATAACTGACCTTGCTGATGAATAATCTTGATGAAAATGTGTTATCAGTCTACTTGAAGACAATAAAAGTTTTCGTGCCCATGCTGACGAAACTAGAGAAGGAAACTTGCCACATAACTGACCTTGCTCCGAGACTTTGGATCCGTGTGGGAGATCGTCATCGTCATTCTCCTTCCGAAAGTCGTATCCGTAATGTATCAAATTCTTTCTCCTTCTCCACAAAGTCAATGGGTTTGACTTGCACGACACATATGGTCAAATAGCACACGTGTCATGTCCACAGTACAGGACGGATTAGGTGGTAAAAACACTCGGTCAATTCTAGAATCGAATAATATGATTTCATAATCCCGTATGGTGAAACAATAAAGAAGATGGAATAATAGATGCGTCGAGATGTTCGGCTTAAACTTTTGGTCGATGACACGAACTCAAGTTCACTACATTGAACTCGAGTTCATTGTGGTGCGGCGCACTTCAGAGACCCAACCCATCCCATCCCAACCAAGTTCAAACCGTCAACGAGCGAGTTCCGATTCCCTTGGTGAGGCTCGCCTGTTCCAGCCAGCCCAGGCATCAGGTTTCACGTCACGAAGACCGCTTGGGCTGCCATCTGTCAGACACGCACGTGAACGACAGGGCGTCGTTCGTGTCTCGTCGACATTGGGGAGATCCAGAAGAATGCAAATTACACCGACGGAATCGTGCACGGCAAAGCGTCGTCTCAGAGCCGTCCATCTGACTCTTCGCCTGCCCCTTCTGAATAAGAAGAAGTAGATGAACGGTTGATATTAGAAACAAAAGTAGGATGGACGGTTTTGGTTTGAAGGGGCCCTTTTAGCTTTTCGACGCATGTTGCACCCGAGCTGGCATCCACACCGAACGGGCCAACGAAACGGTCGGAGTGACACGCCGTCACGTCGCACGCGAGAAACTCGGTAAACGTGGTTCGTCGACTCGAACACAGTGGCTCGCCTTTTTGATATATGCCACCCCCGTTTTTTGTCTCGTCGCCTAATCCTTCCTATCTCGTGTGACAAGTGGGAGTGCATTTATGAGAAAGAGGTGCGTAGTTCAGAGAACCACAGGCGTAGAGAAGACCACCAAACTGGGAGGCTCGGGAAAGGCGGCTCTGTGGCGTACTGGCCTTCTGACGATATAAGGAAGCCTTTGGCTCCTCGCCCAGGGTTAGGGTTCCGCCTTCTCCTACCTGCATTTCAGGTGCGATCGCTACCCGCAACATCACTTACTAGTCTTCTGTCGTCGATTCTTAACGTGTTTATGTTGTTTTCATCTTTCCTCCATATTTGATTCGTTAGTTTTGTCCAAGTTTCTTGCAGATTAGTCTGTTTTTTAGTAATGACGAAGAAAGTAATGCCTTGATGAAAATTCTTTTTTTTGGTTCTACAATTTTCAGGATTGTCGTCGCGTTCTCAGCTTGTGATGTGTATGGTTTAAGGTTTGATCTCTTTGTTCTCCGATATTAACGGTTTCTCTGTAAAGAAAGTTGATCTTTTTAGTGGTGATCCACCGGATCTTGGTCGAGATCCATCGCCATGGCGTGGTTTAGGGCCGTGTCCGGCGTGGCCAGATTGGCCATTAGGAGAAACCTATCTCAGGCGCCGCATCACATCGGCAGGCCCCGCGCCCTCCCCTCTCCGCCCTCCCGGGGCTTCCACTCTGCCGCCCTTCGGCGCAAAGCCGAGTCCGCCGCGCCGATCCCCCGGGCTGTGCCCCTCTCTAGGCTGACCGACAGCTTCCTGGATGGCACCAGCAGTGTCTACTTGGAGGAGCTTCAGCGGGCCTGGGAGGCTGACCCCAACAGCGTCGATGAGTCGTGGGACAACTTCTTTAGGAACTTCGTTGGACAGGCCGCCACGTCGCCAGGAATCTCCGGCCAGACCATCCAGGAGAGCATGCGATTGCTACTGCTCGTCAGGGCCTACCAGGTCAATGGCCACATGAAGGCCAAGTTAGATCCTTTGGGTTTGGAGGAGCGTGAAATCCCTGAGGATTTGGATTTGGGTCTCTATGGATTCACGGAGGCAGATTTGGATAGGGAGTTCTTCCTTGGTGTGTGGAGAATGGCTGGCTTCTTGTCGGATAACCGCCCTGTGCAAACCCTCCGCGAGATTTTGAACAGGCTCGAGCAAGCGTATTGCGGGAACGTGGGATATGAGTACATGCACATCCCTGATAGGGATAAGTGTAATTGGATAAGGGACAAGATTGAGACGGTCAAACCTAGGGAGTACAGTCGGGAACGGCGAGAGGTCATTCTTGACAGGCTTATTTGGAGCACTGAGTTTGAGAATTTCTTGGCTACCAAGTGGACTGCTGCAAAGCGGTTCGGTCTTGAAGGAGGGGAGACCCTGATTCCTGGGATGAAGGAGATGTTTGATAGAGCGGCTGACCAGGGGGTGGAGAGTATTGTTATTGGAATGTCTCACAGAGGCAGGCTGAATGTCTTGGGCAATGTTGTCAGGAAGCCTTTGCGTCAGATTTTCAGTGAATTCAGCAGTGGCACAAAGCCTGTGGATGGTGAAGTTGGGTTGTATACAGGAACAGGTGATGTGAAATACCATTTGGGTACTTCATATGACAGGCCAACCAGAGGTGGCAAAAGGATTCATTTATCCTTGGTCGCCAATCCAAGTCATTTGGAGGCTGTTGATCCACTTGTGGTTGGGAAGACACGGGCAAAACAATACTACTCCAACGATATTGATAGGATAAAAAATATGGGTGTATTGATCCACGGTGATGGAAGTTTTGCAGGACAAGGTGTGGTCTATGAGACTCTACATCTCAGTGCCCTCCCCAACTACACTACCGGGGGAACAATCCACATAGTGATTAACAATCAGGTTGCATTCACCACTGATCCTGGGTCCGGAAGGTCTTCTCAATATTGCACAGACGTTGCCAAAGCCCTGAATGCTCCAATCTTTCATGTAAATGGAGATGATATGGAAGCAGTTGTCCATGTTTGTGAGCTTGCAGCGGAGTGGAGGCAGACATTCCATTCAGATGTGGTGGTTGATATAGTATGTTACAGACGATTTGGCCATAATGAGATTGATGAACCCTCTTTCACACAACCTAAAATGTATCAGGTGAATCATTCTCCTAGTTTTGGTTTTTTGCACAGTGGCGCTTTGTGAGTTGGGTCATCTATGACATAATAGCTTTAATTTTCGCTGAAGGCTTCAAATTGTGTACGCTTGCAATCATTTGCAATATACCTTCTACATTGACTTGTAATAGGTCTTCATAATTGCTACTTGACAATGTTAATTATATATTTTTTGCCCCTCTAACAGGTCATACGGAATCATCCAAGTGCACTTGAAATTTACCAAAGCAAACTCTTGGAGTCGGGAGAAATCACTAAAGAAGATATCGAAAGAATTCACAACAAAGTCACTTCCATTTTGAATGAAGAGTTTATTAACAGCAAAGACTATGTTCCAAAAAGGAGGGACTGGCTTTCAGCATATTGGTTAGGATTTAAGTCTCCAGAACAGATTTCGCGTATTCGAAACACTGGGTATCGTGACTTGTTTTGTTGGTTAAAAATTTCTTCTATGCAATTCTTTGTTCTGGTGATGCGCTATGTAAACAACTGCCTTGTTCCGCAGAGTTAAACCTGAGATTTTGAAACGCGTTGGACAAGCCATTACAACTCTTCCTGAAACTTTCAAGCCTCATAGAGCAGTAAAAAAGATCTTTGAGCAACGTGCTCAGATGATTGAAAGTGGGGAAGGCATTGACTGGGCAATGGGAGAGGCACTTGCTTTTGCTACTCTAATTATAGAAGGAAATCATGTTAGATTGAGTGGCCAAGATGTTGAAAGAGGTACATTTAGTCATCGTCATTCAGTTATTCACGACCAACAGACGGGAGAGAAATACTGCCCTTTGGATCATATTGTGATGAACCAAGATGAAGAGTTGTTCACTGTCAGCAACAGGTTTGTACCATAGTTTTCACGTATTTTGGTCTGTGCTGTTATTCGCTATTGAGTAAACATAAGTTTTCTGACTTGATAATCTCAGCTTGTTATATAATTCACTTTCTTGCAAGTCTAATGAGGTTTGTGTAGGAAAATATGATATTGATTTATTTTTGCGATTTGGTGGTGTATAAGAGGCTCTTGATTGTCTGAATTTCTTAACTATAAATGTTAACATGGTATTTTACTCAACTACACTTGGTGAACTTATTTTTTTACTTGATTTTAATCCCAAAATTTAATCTGGATAATTGCTTCATATGTGTTTGACAGTGTGACAGAGATATTGCAATGATGGCCATCTTTTGCATGTTTCATGAATTTAAACTTAATAATGTCTGTTTTTATTACTACTAGGTGAGATGTTTCAGTCAAATCGTCAAATTCTTTAGAATATCTGGTCCTACTTCCTGTTGTTAGACTGGAACCTGTTTCAATGTTGGAAGTGGTCTGCATTTGATAAGTCACAGTTTTGTGTCGTAAAAAAATAGCTCTACGTTTCTGTAACTCTTCGCAGGAGCAATTTTCAGATGACTGGTTATCTATTTGGTGACTTATATTATGCAAAATTCTGGGATAATTAGATACCTTGGGACGTTTCTTGCTGTCCTGGAACATATTTCTGGATTTATTCTTGATATATAGATTGCTGGATTCCATTGTTTTTTTCTCATCATTGAATGTTTTGTTCTTTTGATACTAGCACACATTTGTATTCCCATAATACGTCACTATTGATTTGCAAAGAATTCAAATGAAAGAAACATTTATTGTCAATTAAGACCCTCACTAAGTTGCTTTCATTACTTATTTCTAGTAATGATGCTGACATGAAGGGCTGCTTGTATACAGTAATCTGCTATAGCTGAGCTCAACTTTCTAACCTTCCATTATAAATGCAGTTCACTTTCAGAGTTTGCTGTCCTTGGATTCGAATTGGGCTATTCGATGGAAAACCCTAACTCATTGATACTTTGGGAAGCTCAGTTTGGTGATTTTTCAAATGGTGCACAGGTAATGTTTGATCAGTTTTTGAGCAGTGGAGAATCCAAATGGCTACGCCAAACTGGGCTTGTTGTTTTACTTCCCCATGGTTATGATGGTCAAGGCCCAGAACATTCAAGTGCACGATTGGAGCGTTTCCTCCAGGTAATTCATGATTACCGTGTGGCATTATGTATAATACTTGGTAAACCTGTCGTCTAAATCGTGAAGCAGAGGAGTCTATATGTTTTCCTAAGGCCTTACATGAACATGTGCTTGACGACTGCATGTATATCAGGCAGTTTTAGTTCAAATCCAAATTTATATGGTTGATTTTGCTTTTTCCCTTTCCAAGGTCTTGTTCATCCGTTCTTTACTACATGTACGGTAGGTTTAAATAGTTCAAATACATTGAGACTTTGTATGTCTTTATTCATGAAGATATGTCTGTTCATTTATATGATCTACATTTTTTCTGGCCTGGAGAAATTCCTTTTTCTGTATTAACATTATAGAGCTATTTAAGAATATTGATTGTCAATTTCACACACCTTTGAAAGCTACTTGAAGAATTGCAAACATGCAATTAAAGTGTTTCTCTGAGAGTTAATGTGCTATGATGTTAAACAGATGAGTGATGATAACCCGTATGTAATTCCTGAGATGGACCCAACTCTCCGGAAACAGATCCAGGAATGCAATTGGCAAGTCGTGAATGTGACGACTCCTGCAAATTATTTCCATGTTTTGCGACGGCAGGTTAGTGTTTGCAAAAATCATCGGCTTGTTCCATTGCACAAGTAAATTCAGTTGAAGTCATTGTTTGGTATTTTGTCTAGATTCATCGGGAGTTCCGGAAACCTCTGATTGTGATGTCCCCTAAGAACCTACTTCGGCACAAGGACTGCAAATCAAATCTATCCGAGTTTGATGATCTTGAAGGCCATCCAGGATTTGATAAGCAAGGAACACGTTTCAAACGCCTTATAAAGGACCAGAATAATCACAAAGAGATAGAGGAGGGTATTAACCGTCTCATTTTGTGCTCTGGAAAGGCAAGTCATGTGATTTTCTTTCAGTTTCTATAGACAATCTGATCTCTTTTTTTAATGACTTTTTCATATTTGAATAAATTATTTATTTTCACATTTGCTTTTTTCAGGTCTATTATGAACTTGACGAAGGACGCAAGAAGTTGGATCGCCAGGATGTAGCCATTTGTAGAGTGGAACAGCTTTGCCCATTCCCCTATGACCTCATTCAAAGAGAGCTTAAGCGATATCCAAGTATGGACTTCTGTTTTTGATCTTTTCTTTAATGCTAATTGTTTCTAGTTCCCTTCATTGTTGATACTAAAGTTCAAGTGTTTTTACCTCTGGTTATTGTCACATCCATAATGTCTGATCAGTCATGAAGGGTTTACCTTGACACGGTGAGAGTGGGTATGAATACAGCGAGTGAGAGATATGGTTTTATGTGTGTGTGTGTGTGTGTGTGAAGTCAAGAGATGTTCACTTTGGTGTACTTGTATATATTGTGACTTGTTGTCCAAACCAAAATGTTGTCATTCGTAGTTAAAGCATAGTTGTAACAGCCAGTGAATTCTCTAGCCTAATCAATGCTGAGAGCCCCTTCTGATAGTTTTAGAGTATAGTTGTGGTTCTTCTGATAGTTTAGAGTTATTGGATAAGATTTAAGTCATATGGAACCATGAGGAGCACGGGCCTACAATTATTACTTCTTCTTGAGTCTGACTTTAACTTAAATGCAAAGCCTACCACTGGCTAGTTGATTATAGATCCTATTTCTTATTGGCTCAGGATTTGTTGTAAATTGTAATCTGTGCCTCCTGGGACAAATTGTAGCCTTTAGACTCTTTTTTTTGTTGATGGTATTTACTAATAAAATCTGTGTGCTCACTTCAGTTCTTTATTTGTGTTTCTATAGATGCGGAAATTGTCTGGTGTCAGGAAGAGCCAATGAACATGGGTGCATACAGCTATATCAATCCTCGCCTATACACCGCCATGAGGGCACTAGGTCGGGGGGAGTTTGAAGACATCAAGTACGTCGGGAGGGCACCTTCTGCTGCAACGGCCACAGGTTTCTACTCTGTTCATGTTCAAGAGCAAACCGAGCTTGTACAAAAGGCATTACAGCCTGAGGCGATCAGTTTTCCTTATTGAAAAGTTTTTCGATATCGGACCCAGAACAAATAATATGAAATGAGCTGTTGCTTGAGTTTTATGATGTTTCAGGCAAAGGTACTATGCTCATGAACCATTGTCAAATTTTGAACAGTTCATCTTTTTTGGTGTTTCTGTTGTCATTTACACTCAGAAATGGCAGCTGATGCTGATTCTCCTTTATATCTGATTCGAGCAATTACCATCTGCCTCATTTCTTTGGTGATTGTCAAACCATGTTGTTTGATTTTTATACTCAGCAAGTTAATGATCATATCTTCTGTTTGGATTAGCCATTGATGTCATTGCATGTTTGCCGACGGTATCGAAACGCATGGCTGCGAGACGAGAGCAGCTCAACATGCTCCCTCTCCCGTACCAGCCAAAGGTAATGGAAGAATCGAGCCGATGCGGAACGCAACAGGTCTCCTGCCTGCAAAAGCTGACGAAAAGATGCAACTCAAGCTGCCATGCTTTACATACTTCTCCGTAAACTCATCAATCGCTTCACCACATTTTTGTTTCTTCGTCATCAAAAAACATGAAAGCATCGAGTTTCCCTCCTCGATTTGGGGGCTACAACAGCTACGTCTTTCTCGAGACAAACCTGCGAGCACGACGTCGGCATTGCACGCGCAAAGGCCGTCGCCTTTGGCTTCCCCTTGACACGCCGCGGAGTCCGCTTAGTGTTTGGTTAACCGAGCAAATGCCGCTCGTTGGCTTTTTGCGGCGCACAGCTTGGCTTCTCTCTTTCTTCGTTTGTATTGGTTAATGAAAGAAGAATAGGATGGTTATAGGTTCGGAACCCGTCGGCTTCCATGTGGCTTCGGTGCTGTTGCTACGAGGAACAGCTCCTCGGCCTGCACCTTCCCTCGCGATGACGACGACAGGGGGCTGCTGCTATTTGAATCCACGTCGGCTGCTTTATGCTCTTCGGCCGTCATCACCCCGCCGTGGTCGAACATGCCGTCGTTCATCAGTACAGAGAAGAGAGAGTAGACCGGGCGGTGGTCGGAGAACCGCGATTCGCCTCTCACGTAACTCATTTGCTTCATCCCCTTCCCCCGCCACAGTATACGATCGCACCTGTTACATCAACCACCGCACGACATTAGAACTTGGATACTGGAAACAGGACATCTCTCTCTCTCTCTCTCTCTGCTTCTTTGTTACCACTGTCATGTGATACTTGTGGTGTTCTCTGCTACAAACAACAGCCCTGCTGATGAAGAAGAGCATGTAGATGAGCTGCGGTAGTAGCTATATTGCATGCTCGCCATGGGAATGAGCTGGTCAAACTCAATTACTTGGAATGGCAGCAACCGCTATTAGTTTACAGGACGTGTATGACACGGTCAACACATCGAACGACACAACAACGTAACTCTAATCTATGCAGTTCAAAGTCGGGGAAGAATAGAAAGGAGAAGGATGATGGGGGATTACCAAGCAGGGGTGCGCCTTTTCTCTCTCGATTTTGCTTGATCGACGGCGTAAACGTCAGAATTCGCAAGGTATTTGTATGTCGGAGGAAAATATATCTTCCCTTCGTCCCATCCGGCAAACACACGTCCGGCTTTCTGTTCTATCAGAAGCTGCGAGTACATGACACGATGTAGAAGCTTAGTTTTGTTCTTACACGGATTCCCCGGTGTATCGCGTATCTTTCTCTCACCTGGTCCTTCTGCAACAAGGTTTCCCAGTCATTCCTCTGCAACAGTTGATGGGTGTCGCTGTTCGTGGAAGCCAATCGGTAATTGAGATCTCCGAGCCATATAATCTTGCTGCAAGTTGAATTAATGGTCAGTGGAATAGCCCGACGACGACGATAGAGACATCAGCTCCAACGAGCTACTTTTTTGTTTCAGAAGCTCGATCGGAGGCTTACTCGTGCTCCAGAATTGTCTCCGGTAGATATGGCGCTGGCCCTGCGATCCTATGTGATTGCTGGAATCTAGTTCTCTTCATGATCTCCGCGACATCCAAGTTCCTTCGGACCTCGTCGCCGTCCTTCTCTCCGGACGCCAAATGCGTGCAAATGAAGCAGAACGTGGTTCGCTCCAGAGTCATGCTGATCGAGATCGACCCCTGCAGGGGGGCGAGGCGTGTCAGGAGCTACTTGATGGCGTTGGTGAACAGCAAGGTGGGCGAACCTTGTTCCCCATGCAGCCCATGATGCCTCTGCCGACACAGGAGATCTCGAGGGCGCTGATGCGGTGCATGATGCTGGCTCGCACCCACACGCAGAGGAAGATGCCCACCATCTGCTTGCTCGCGGCGAGGCAGTAACCCCCGCGGTGCGGCGTGATCGATCCCAGGTAGAGATCCGGCGACTCGCCGCCGCTGCTGGAGCTGGGATTCATGCTCGCGAGCTCGTCCTCGGGCTCCTCCAGCTCCAGCTCCATGGACAAGAGATCCGAGAAGCTGACCCGCGGCTTCTGAGCCGACGGGGAGTCGGACTCCGAGGCGTCGCCGTGGATTCCGGGGGGATTCAGCACCTGCCGAATGAGGGAGAGCCATTTGCAGGCGGGGCCCTTGTCCTCGGGGCCCAACACATTCCCGGCGTTCAAGGGGACGATCTCCTGAAACCTGCAGCAGAAGGACAGGATTAACATGGGCGATTCAGGTGCCACAAAGTCCGCCGCGACGAGATCGTGTCGCACACGGCCAGATTTATACAGAACACCCCAAATCCTCAGCCTTCTCCTTGGCACTGATACCGATGCAAATGTTTTCATTACGAGTTGTCGGTGTCGATGGGATTAAGAAGCCAAGCGACATGTCCTGTTGAAATCGAACATCACTCGAGGAGAGTGAGTGATAACCGTAGTTATCAGACGAGAAAGGACGCTGATCTCAATCAGTAATCACAGTCCCATCTGTGTCAAATGCGATACAGCGGCACATCATTAAGAGTCCAATAAAATTGAGCTCCATTCATCACGTAGTAGGACTCGCTTAACATCATGTCTTCTTACTGCTGGAGTGCTACTGCGGCGAAGCAACTTTCCAGTTCATCAGGCTTTGTGCGTGGCATGGGGGGTGGCACGAGGAATGGCAGTCGAAAGGACTTGGCCTTTCTGCTTCACATCATCCATCCGTAATACCATGTGCCAGACGAATGGATGCATTCGCTGGTCACGATGAGAGACCACTCAGGAGCATATAGTGGCGAAAAGAAAAGGCTACACGGGATATGAGAAAAAGGAGCAGAAGAGAAACGGGACAGAGATGCTAGTGGTATTGGCTCGTTATCAGCATCTTTCATCGCTCCACCAGCTGGCTTTCCAATCTCTAGTGCTGGAACCATTAACCCCGATAGATCCTCGTGCTGCTGCTGGAGACTGCAATTGGATGGATGCATGCAGCAGCACGAGGATCTATAGGGGTTAATGGTTCCAGCCCACAAAACGCAACCACGTCGCGTTAGATCGAAGCCCCCATTTTTTTATGCAGTCAGTCCTCCACTTAAACATGCCATCTGTGACCGTGGCAGGTGTTTTTGCGGTTGTGTAGAATAAGCCATCACTAAAAGGTTGTTCCTTTTGGGAAAGAAGTTGATGAAAGCGAGGGAATCATCATGATTAGCAGCTGCTAAAGCTGGATGTAAGAAAACTAAAGGCAGAGCTGCATACTACTATATATGTAGAGGAGAGAGAGATACCCGAGGACATAGATGTCTGGGGAGGAAGGCGTGCTCATAAGCCAATCCCTTAGGTTGAGCCCACAGTGGGGCGGGCGCCCTCCCACGTTCCATGTCCCTACGACCATCCTACCCGCATCATCGTCGTCATCATCAGCGGCGGCATGTGCGACACAAGTCGACGAGTTAATTAGTCCATGGCTTCACGGGGGATTAAACAAATGCGACGGCAACAACTCCAACATATTCTCTGTGGGATCAGTGCCCCCTTACCGGAGGTTGTCGATGGGCGGAGAAGAGCCAGTTGGCGAGTAGCTCGGCACGCGGGGAGGCTCGAGATTGTCACGGCCCTCCGCCAGCCATCCACCTACTAATTCATAGAAAAAGAAATTGAAAAGACTGAAACCTTTGGAGTTGTCTCGTTAATGCTTTGCAGATGATTGAGAGAGGAGTTGGGTTATGTTGTCGAGTAGCTGCGGAGTACCTGGCAAGTCCCTTCTCCTGAGCACGCTGCTGTCCTTGTCCGAACAGCTCTTCCTCCTCTGTACATCTCCGTTCTTCTCTGCTTTGATCCAAGGAGAAAGATGTCAAGTAATTCGATGACAGGAACAGGAGGCAATCGGAGGACTCGGACTTACTGCTGCGTTCAGAACAGATCTCTGAGGTCTTCAAGTTGAGCCATTTCCGGACTACAGTCTTGGGCCAAGAATAAGACTGGAGGGCAGAGGACATCTGACATGAGTTGGGAAACTCTACCGTGGTTTGTTTCTGTAAGAGAAGTCTCACCTTTTGTATCAGAGTTGGCTCTCGTCCCATTGCTCCGACGAGGAAGACGCACACCTGTGGAAGGAGAGAATCAAAACGATCGATCATCTTCGGAGCATGACGAACAAGGACACGAAACGACGCAAGGAAAAGGAAGTCATCCCATCCCCTCCTCTGACAAAGCCTTTGAAACTCTGTACAGAGAAGAGAAGAAAAAGGTGCGGAAGGTCGGAGTAGTTAACCAGAACCGTAAAGTGGCTTTTGAGACTAACTCGCTTTCTCCTACGACCAGTTGCCAAAGATATATGTAGATTTATGGACAGGCAAGAAATGGAAGGAAGCCAGAGATTGAAGCTAACGAGCTTTGACCGTGTCTCCCACCACTTTACCATCAAATCATGAGTGGCCTAAGTAGAATAAGAGTAAGAAGAAGAAGAAGAAGAAGAAGAAGCATGATTTGTGATGGCAGGACAGAGTAGAAATCTTGGGGAAATAAGAAACGAATGGTTTCATAAAAGGCTTACGATCTGGAAATTTCTGACAACCTATAGAATGAAATGCGGAATAATTCCACTGTACGATTAATAGATCTTCGTTCCCCCGATTGATGTCCCGCATATCATGATATATACTGCATGAGGACGAATCAGAACGGCAAGAACGGAAGACGGCTCCCCAGTTCATCATTATCGACATTGTCCAAGACATATCTTTTATCTTCTCTCAAGGAGAAAGCAAACGTACGGCAAGAAATCTTTTCGACACACGTTTCTCTGCCG